TAGTTTGTATCCTGCTACTTTACTGAACTCATGTATCAGTTCTAATAGTTTTTTGGTGGAATCTTTAGGGTTCTTTATATACAGTATCATGTCATATGCAAATAATGACAGTTGTACTTCTTCTTTTCCAATTTGGATGCCTTTTATTTCTTCCTCTTGTCTGACTGTAGCTGTGGCTAGGACATCCAGTACTATGTTGACTAAGAGTGGTGAAAGTGGACATTCCTATCTCATTCTCAGCCTTAAGGTAAACATTTTTGTTTTTTTTCCACTGAATTTTATATTGGCTGTAGGTTTGTCCTATATACCCTTTATGTTGAAGTATGTTCTCTCTATTTCCATGTTGCTGAGAGTTTTTATTATAAACTAGAGGCCTGGTGCATGAAAATTTGTGCATTTGGGGGTTAGGGTTCCCTCAGCCCATCCTGTGCCCTCTTGCAGTCCAGGACCCTTGGGGGATGTCGACTGCTGGCTTAGGCCCACTCCCCGGGGGATCGGGGCCTAAGCTGGCAGTCAGACATCCCTCTGGCAGCCTGGAAGCCCTCAGGGGATGTCCGACTAACAGCATAGGCCCACTCTCCCTGGACAACCTTAGTGCTGCCGCGGAGGCGGGAGAGGCTCCCGCCACCACTGCTGCGCTGGCTAGCCATGAGCCGGTTTTTGGCTGAGTGGTGCTCCCTCTGTGGAAGCGCACTGACCACTCCTGCATTGAGCATCTTCCCCCTGGTGGTCAGTGCTCATCATAGTGACTGGTCATTCCGCCATTAGGGTCAATTTGCGTATTTCCCTTTTATTATATAGGTTGGGTGCTGGATTTTATTAAATGCTTTATTCTGCATCTATTGATACAATCATGTGGTTTTTACCCTTCATTTTGTTTATGTGGTATATCACATTTATTGATTTGTGGATATCATTACCAACCATGCATCCTAGGAATAAATCCCACTTGATCATGGTGTATGATGTTTTCAATGTATTGATGGATCTGGTTTGCTAATATTTTGTTGAGGATTTTAGCATCTATGTTCATCAAGGATATTAACTTATTATTTTCTTTCTTTATAGTGTCTTTATCTGGTTTTGGAATTAGGATAATGCTGGCCACATAAAATAAGCTTGGGAGTCTTCCCTCCTCTTGAATTTATTGGAATATTTTAAAAAGAATAGCTGTTAGTTCTTCGTTGAATGTTTGATAAAATTCTCCTGTGAAGCCATCTGGTCCATGTCTTGTTTGTCAGGAGTTTTTTGACTACTGCTTCAATTCTACTAATTATAATCTGTCTATTCAGATTCTCTGAGTCTTCCTGATTCAGTTTTGGAAGATAGTATATTTCTAGGAATTTATCCATTTTGTCCCAATTGTCCAATTTGTTAGCATACAGATTTTCATAATATTTTCTTACAATACTTTGTATTTCTGTGGACACTTGTTACTTCTCCTCTTTCATGTCTGATTTTATTTATTAGGATCCTCTCTCTTTTCTTCTTCATGAGTGTGGTTAAAGGTTTATCAAACTTGTTTACCTTTTCAAAGACCCAACTCTTGGTTTCATTGATATTTTGTATTGTTTTTTTTAAGTCTCTGTCATTTATTTCTGCTCTGATCCTTCTACTCACTTTGGAGTTTGTTAGTTTTTTTTCCTAGTTCCTTTAAGTGTAAAGTTAGATTGTTTACTTGAGATTTTTTCTTGTTTCTTAAGGTAGGCCCGTAATGCTAGGAATTTCTCTATTAGAACTGCTTTTGCTGTATACAACAGATTTTGGGTTGTTGTGTTCTCATTTTCATTTGTTTTAAGGTATCTTTTTATTTTTTCTTTGATCTCGTTGTTGATCCATTCATTGTTTTGTAACATGTTATTTAGCTCCATGTGTTTGTGTGTTTTTCAGTTGTTTTCTTGTGATTGATTTTTGGTTTCATAGCATTATGGCCAGAGAAGATGATTAACATGGTTTTAACCTTCTTAAATTTACTGAGACTTGTTTTTGTCTAACATGTAGTCTATCCTAGAAAATGTGCCATGTGCACTTGAAACAAATGTATATTCTGCTGCCTTTGGGTGAAATGTTCTGAAGATATCAATTAAATCCATCTGATCTAGTGTGTCACTTAAGGCCACTGTTTCCTTGTTGATTTTCTGTCATTTTCTGCCTGGAAGATCTATCCATTGGTGTTAATGTGGTATTAAAGTCCCCTACTATGACTATATTATTGTCTATCCCTCCCTTTATGTCTATCAAGATTTGTTTTATATATTTAGGTGTTCCTATGTTAGGTGCATAAATATTTACAAGGGTTATATAATCTTGTTGGATTGCTCTCTTTATCATTATGAATTGTCCTTCTTTTGCTCTTACTGTAGCCTTTGTTTTAAAGTCTATTTTGTCATATATAAGTATTGCTACTCCAGTTCATTGTTCATTTCCATTTGTATGAAATACCTTTTTCTATACCTTCACCTTTACTCGGTGTATATCTTTCATTCTGTGGTGGGCCTCTTGCAGAGAGTATATATGTATATATATCTTATTTTCTTATCCATTCAGCCACCCTATGTCTTTTGATTGAAGCATTTAATCCATTTATATTTATAGTGATTATTAATAGGTACATATTTAATGCCATTTTATTCTTTTAATTTATATTCCTTTGTGTTTTTTTCTCCTCCTGTTCCTCCTCCTTCTTAAAGAAGACCCTTTAACACTTTTTTTCTTTCTTTCTTTCTTTCTTTCTTTCTTTCTTTCTTTCTTTCTTTCTTTCTTTCTTTCTTTCTTTCTTTCTTTTTTATTCAGAGGAATCTGCCTGTCATTTTTTTTAAACATTTCTTATTATACTGAGTAGGTGGTAATGAACTCCTTTAGCTTTTTTTTTCCCTCTGAGAAGCTCTTTATTTCTTCAATTTTAAATGATAGTCTTGTTGAGTAAATTAGGTCCTTGCTTTTTTTCTCTTTGAATATTTCATGACAATTCCTTCTGGCCTGAAATGTTTCTGTTGAGAAATCAGATGATAGTCTTATGGGAGCTCCCTTGTAGGTAACTGACTACCTTTCTCTTGCTGTTTCTAAGATTTTGGTAGATTGCTTGCCTCCATTTCATTTAACTTTATTCTGCAGATTTCTTGTGTTCTTTCATTTGGGGCATATTCGCTCTCCATCTTGGCTGCCTCTTTGTGTTTATTTTTATGTATTAAGTAGGTATGCTTTAACTCCCAGTCTTGCTGGGGTGGCCTTAGGTAGTAGATGTCCTGTGGGACCCCATGGCAAAATTTCCTTGATCACCTCTGCTGGGTGCTCCTGGAATATGCCTTGTAGGACTTTCTGTTGTAATTGAATCTTAATTGCTATTGGCCTGTTTGTGTGTAGATTGACCATTAGGCGGGCTGACTGTGAGGATCAATTCCAACCACAGTGAATAAGCTGCTTACAGGTGCTGATCACACAAAAGTAGAATTCACCTCAGCAGGGTCTGGTGCATGTCAAAATCGTCCTTTGGATGTGCCCCTTGTGAAGCTATTTGGATCCTGCTGTGATGATGTCTGAATATCACCAGTGGGTATGTTGGTTCTAGGTCTTCTTGGATGGGAATCTGGTGCAGGTCAATGTCAGACGCTGCTTGTGACTGGCTCTGGACAAACTGTTTGGAGCTACAAAGTGGTCCACAATTTGTGGCTGCCTCTGCTGGGCCTGGGCGTGCACGGAAAGGATCAAGCTGCATACTAACGCTTGCTTTTACCAACCTTGGGCCAGGGAGCAAGTCTTCAAAAGTCCCAAGGAAACCTGAAGTCTGACTCTGCCTGCCTCCACCTGCTGGCTGCCTGTTAGGCTCAGTCACTGAAAGAGCCTTTTGTGGTACTCAAGTTGCATGTGATAGGTTCCCAGTGAGTCACTGGGTAGGGGAGAGAGGTGATCACCAGGTCTACATAGGTTCAAACTCAGTGCCAGTGCTAGGTCTGAGGCCACTTAGCAAATTAGAATGTCCCAGTAATACCAAGTCTAGCTGCCAACTGCTGGGTGCTTACACACCTTTGGGGTGGGTCAGGATCTCAGGGAGTTGTTAGGATGAGGCCAGCAGAGTTTATCAGGCCCAAGAGATCAAGATTTGGCTGTGTGAAGGGAAGATCTTGCACCAGTTGGGCGTGTGAGGGGAAAATTTCCCCTTTCCCAGGGCGATACAACTCAGTCTGTCCCAGATTCTGCCCAGATCTCATCAGGGTGGAGACACCTAAAGTTGAAAGGCTGGGGCTGTCAGGTGCTAGGAGAGTGGGGCTAGTAGATCTCCCTTGAGGGGGAGGTGCTAGTCAGGTTCACAGGAAAGTTGGGGGAATTGCCCCTTCCCCAAAGTCACACAACTCAGTCACTGACACTACCTGCATTGACCCAGACCTCTACACCCTGGTCCAGGCATTTGACTTCTCTTCAGGGTGGAAGTTCTGTAGAGTGGGTTGACAGGGAGTCCAGAGTGTGGGGCTATTGCATTCACCCAACCTGATGCTGTCTGGAAGGGTGTGCTCCACCCAAGAAAGACGGTATCTGCTGTGCAGTACAGTGACTGAGCACAAATATTTAATGAAATAAATAATTGAAATGTATAATTTAAAAAAATTACTTAAATGGACTAAATGCTCTAATCAAAATAAATAGGGTAGCAGAATGGGTAAAAAAAATAAGACCCATATATAAGCTGTCTATAGGAAAACTATTTCAGATAGAAAGACACACAGATTGAAAGTAAAGGGATGAAAAAGATATTTCATGCAAAGGGAAACAAATAAAAGAAAGCTGGTGTATATTTCTACCAGACAAAACAGACTTTAAAACATGTTCACAGATTAGCACAAGAATGAACAAAAATGAAGCACCTGTGAATGTCCCCTCTGAATTCCCTCCTTGTTATGGAAGTCACTTAGGTTCATTTTCACATGGAAACCAAAATGAAGAATAGAAATAATGACAAATACAAAGCAAAGCTTAAATCCTATTGTTCCCTTTCCAACTCTGTGCTGAATTACCACAATCTATCCTCATGTACATTTCCAAGTATTTCAAGGCAAATAGACAATCCCACCCAGACCTGCACACAAGCCAGGAGGATTAGAGGGAAGCACTGTCCTGAGGAACAAAAGGGTTTTCAAGCATAAAGGTAAGTAATGAGCAGTGATGCATCACTGTACCTGGAACACATTGAATCAAGTTGGCGACCATGGCACTAAAATGTGCCCGGATATCTTTAAGAATTTCAACTTCTTTATCATTTTCAGCTTCTAGCAGCATGCGGGTCAGGTCTACATACTCTAGGAACAAAGCTCCAAGGGCTAAAGTATCCCGTTCTAAGGCTCCATTTGTGCTGTAATAAAGAAAAATGGAACTTTTAGATGCTCAGTCTTCATTTCTTTTTTTTAAATTTTATTTTTATTGCTTAAAGTATTAAAAAGGGTATTACATATGTGCCCTTTTTCCCCCCCCACCCTTGACAGTCCCCTGGCCTCCCCTACCCCCCAGTGTCTTATGTCCATTGGTTATGCTTATATGCATGCATACAAGTCCTTCGGTTGATCTCTTACCCCCCTCCCTTCGTGAGATCATGTGGTATTTTCCCAAAGTGGTACATGCTTCATGGAAAATAAGATCCACTGTCAGAACTGACACACTACATTTGTTCTTGACCTATATGCAGCGTAAACTGATTAAGAACCCCCACAAGATTTTTGGACTTTTTCTAAGTAAAAGTTAAAGGTAATATATTTTTTAAAAGAAAGGAAATAAAAAGAGACAAAAGTAGACCAGTGTAGTAAGCAGAGATCAACTTGGGGAAATTTTCATCCTACCTGTCACTTATTACACCAGCATCAGCCAGAAGTTCGAAAATTCGAAGTAACTGTAGTCTTAACAAGTCCCGCCGTTCTCGGCGTTTTTTGTTCTGTACAGAAAGAGGTGATACCACTTATAGACATGAACAAGGCAATATGAGCTTTGCTTTAGGAAACTGGGATAAAGAAAGGCCTAACCTAGCCCTTTTCGATTTTCTAAACATAAAAGACAATGTATTTTCCTTTCTTCCTAATCCTTAGAGACGATGTTTGCTTTTATAGGTTGTAAGAGAAAGATCATCGGGGGGTGGGGGTTGGTAAGTATCTATATGGTGGAAATGTTCAGAACAAGCCTCAATTCCCAGATCCTCCAAGCATGTGTGGAAAGACTGGAGCATCTTAAATCAAGTGGAAAAGAGTGGACACTAATACTCCCGCCAATCTGACCATGAAGCTCACATGTTCTTACTCAAACGGCTTAATTTTTGTTACTTCTTGCTTGATTCTTACTACTATATGGGAAGCTCATTTTAGTCTTCTTTTACATTTTATTTTTTATCCTGCTACATTATAAGTTTATCTTTTTCAGAGTTCACTTTGGGGAAGATAATGTTGGGGAAAACGCTTCATATGCCAGATGAAACAAGTAATATTTGTGACCATTTAACCCCTTGTGAAAAACAAGCAAACAAACTAAAAACCAAAATTCAATAAACTCAAACCTCTTTCAAATAAATATGATATCTTCACATATATATGACTACTTAGGTTGTTTTGCTTTCAGAAATATAGGACATAAAATCTTTTAAAGTAAGAACCATATTATACTAAGTATTAAAATATTGAAAAAATGGAAGTAACAAAAGCTAAAATGTTAAGATTCAATATTAAAAGCATGCTGGGGAAACCATTGGGTAATGGTTAAATCTTAATGATTTAAATTCAAAATCTTACCTCGGGTCTTCGTTCCAGAGCTTCTTTCATTAATGGATGAAGTTCTTCTACCAATTCTCTACAGAGGAAGAAGGTAAGCATTTGAAATATATTATTATTATTGACACCAAACTTCTCACCAAACATATCCATTCAATCCTAAATCATTTGGTTTTTCCACTTCGCATCTGACATCAAAATCTCCCCTGGCCTTCCCATTTCCCAGTCACATGGTGAACCATAATTAGGTACTGGCCTATACTTTGTATTATTGGTATTAACCCCAGTGCTGTGTATATAATTTTGGCTCAATTCACGTATTGAGTTGGTTTTGATTTAATGTCTGAACAATTAAACAATACAGTAGGTCCTCGGGTTACGTTGGAGATCCATTCCTATGGCGCAACTTAATGCGATTTTTGCTGTAAGGCGGAACCCATCTACATAAGCACCTACGTCACTCACATGGAGCACATACACAGCAGTAATGAAGAAGTGAAACAGTAAAAAAAAAATTAAAAGAAAGATAACAATTCCTGACCTTTACTTGTGGTAAATAAATAATAAAAAACATAAAGCACGTATGCACATATGTCGAAATGATGGAACTTTTTTTTTTTTATAAATAAATGGGAGATGGCGACATAACCATGAAATGACTTAAGTCAAGTCTGATGTAACCTGAGGACTGTCTGTATTTTGCAAGTACTTCCTAAATTCAAAGCACTTTACTACAGACTGTGGACTTGAAGATAAGTGAAACTGAGTCTCTGCACAGAAATGTTCAGTCTAATTAGAGCATAAGAGATAGGTGCAGTACTACAGTACTGCCTTTGGGATTCTGTGCTCAGGGAATGACTGATAGTTGATTCTAACATGAAGTTTTTTGGAATTTCAGAGATAAATTCCTTTTATTTAAACTATATGACAAATATAAATATGTCAAGTACTATAGTAGTGAAGTTCTCATAAAAACCTTACCTCTTACGTAGTAAACAGAAAAGCTTGATCATGTTAATATATATCTCATATTACATGTACATACTTCACCTGTCCCCATTATCTAACCTGTTGGTAGGTATTTTGTTTATCATCCACTCCATGTCTAAAAACCTTGTATTTTCTGGTAGAATATTTTGTGCTAATAGAAATTGCCCTCCAGGGAAATCCAGGGACAGGAAGGTAAACTCTATCGAATTCTGCACCGAGACATAGAAAGCCTGCATTTCATTCCAGATTTTTCCACTATAGATGCTAGAATTTTTTTCACCAAAGACGGAAATAATATTAATGGTCTCTTCCATCTAATAGCAGACATTAACCAAATATTTACTATGTGCATTTTTATATTTAATTTAATAAATCTGAGGTAGATCCTATAATTATACCAAATCTATATGGTTAGTAAGTTGCATAAGTTACCTCCCCCAAGGAACACTAAGAGGATGAGATATGCAAAAGAAAGCCTCAGGTTCTTTGGGGAAAATATTCAGAAATTTCAGGAATTGTTCTTAATAGTATTTTCACATGATGCTTTTTTAGTTTTAATAAATAAGTAGTAAAACTCGAATTAACTGACATCCAAGTAGTCAGACTCACAATTACTTTAAAAAAAATATTTTATTGATTTTTTTCAGAGAGGAAGGGAGAGGGATAGAGAGTTAGAAACATCAATGAGAGAGAAACATTGATCAGCTGCCTCCTGCACACTCCCTACTGGGGATGTGCCTGCAACCAAGGTAAATGCCCTTGACCGGAATTGAACCTGGGACCCTTGAGTCCCACAGGCCGATGCTCTATCCTCTGAGCCACACCGGTTAGGGCACAATTACCTTTTTTAAATTCATTTTTTAAAAAATTCTTTATTGTTTAAAGTATTACATATAGTATTACATATGACTCCTTTTTCTCCCATTGACCTCTCCCTGGCCACCCCCACCCCCAGCACATGCCCTCACCCCACTAGTGTCTGTGTCCATTGGTTATGCTTACTAGTACATGATGCATACAAGTTGATCTCTTACCCCTTCACCAGACCCCTCCCGTGGCTTCCCTCTGAAGTTTGACGGTCTTTTCGATGATTCCCTGTCTCTAGATCGAGTTTTGTTCATCAGTTTTTGTTGTTCATTATATTACACTCACAATTACTTTTTATAAGGATAAAATCTGACTCTCTACATGAATAATGTAACTGATCTTTTTCAGTTGCCTCTAAGATATCTCATTAATCTTTATTTTTCAAATAGGGTCTTTCAGATGCTTGGAGCATTCCCTTTTGTATCTGTGTGAAACCTATACAATTTAATTTGTCCTAGTAGGCTTTCCTGCTTAGCTAAAGTCATCAGAGGTAGCCCGAATATAACCTTTTTATGATGACTCTTTCAAAGGCTTGGCACTGCCTCAGATGGAATGGTTATTTAATTAAAGCTGTGAAATGACTAAGTAATCTAGAAAGTAAGATATGATGGTTCTATAAAGGCAGATAAAGCACTTTATAGAAATGTCCACTAGTGTAACAGGTCATCCCTCAGAGAGTTCTACCAATGCTTCACCTTTGAGAGTGCTGCATTATTGGCAGACACTCCTTATTGTGACCTTAAAGCCTCTGGACAGTCTGGTTACCTGGGCATTGACAGGGAAATTCTTTTTAGTTATCTAAAACAAAGCTTTTAAGTGAGATAAAATCTGAGAGGTAAAGTCAAAGTTGCAATGACAAAAAGTGGAACATGAGACAGCTGCAAGCAAGGGTTGTTTCATGCACATCAGCCAGGACACAGGAAACAGCGCCAAGCCAGAAATCTCAGGTACTCGCCAATAGCAAACTCAGACTTGTGTTAAAACAGGAACCACGACAGCAGCAGCATGTATGAATTTACAGCTTATTGAGACTACTGTACCTGAAAACAAGGGAATTTGTTCTTCCAAATCCTAAAACTAAGGACTCTGTGATTTCAATGCCCTCTAGTCTCATCAAAGGCACCAACTGCTTTAACAAAACTCCCACCGATGGGGTGCCCATGGCCTGAAACAAGTTAATTAAAAGAGAAAAAGAGGTCACATGGGAACATGCTTCCTTTAATCAAACGGTGACTCCATTATAACAGTTTCAAAGTCTGAACCACTTCCCAAGGCACTGCCATCATTTCAGGAAAAATTAAACAACCCATACATTTGATATAGCACAATTAATGCATTTTTCATCTGAGACACAAGTTAAAGAACCTTTAAAGTATAATAGTCTTCTTAAAAAAACCCCAACAAATTAAATCTACAAAACTTATCATTAACAATATAATTTAATCAAGGCACGGTTTAAAGGTAACGACTTGGTGTAGAGTGACAGACATGTGGTATGTAGGACACGAATCAAACTTTAGGGCACTAATAAATACAAGCCCCAATGTTTTAAGAAAGTTTGCTCACTTCTCTTTATCTTCTACTGTCCACCTGTCAGGCAGAAATTATAAATTATGCACATAAACACTCAGTGGAATTTAGAAATGGTCAAGGTGAAAATCTCATTCTCTATACTCCAGATGGCAGGCACAGTACAATTTGCACTGTGAACTCTAGACAAACAAGCTAAAAAAACCCTTACAGAATAATTCTTCTGAAGCATGTCATGTCACCTTGTTATCGTAGCTCACTGTACCATCAGGCGTGGTCGCCATTATTTCTGGAGTCGAAGCTCGTAAGTGTCCCGGGCTCATGATACTGGGTTTTGCAACTCCAAAGCAAAGAATGAGGTAGTTCCTCCACAAGGTCACATAGCTGTCTCCGCTGCCAGCAGTGCTGGTTTTCTTGGCATTAATTGGGCTACTAGAAATATGGAGAAGTGAGCACTAGTTCAGGATTTTAAATATCACTCATTGAATAATGATCCTACAAAGTGCTCAAAGAGAGTTGAACAGCTATCTGTCAAGATTGTCTGGACAGGGAAGGTCACTACTGGATGGGAAGTTGTATAAACTTTCACAACATTTTCACCAGTAAGGTCTGAAATTCTGTACTTAGACATTCATATTGATTATTATGAAAAGCAACAACAATAACAACAAAACTAGCTCTAGATGAGAACTTTGAACCGGATTTTTATTCAATGTTAAGAATTCTATGTTAGGAAGTTCAGAATCTAGAGAGGATTATAATATCTTAATCTCTTATATGAAATGAAAATGTAAGAGGGAAAATGGTTACAAGCAGAACAGAGGAAAGCACATAGACCCTTACTTGGGGTCCACCAGGGGCATGACTGACTGGAGCCGAGTGAAGGCATAGGGCCAGGCATAGCTGAGGGCCGTGGGGCAATGCTTGGGCAAGTTCTCCTGCCGCAGGAAACTAAACAGACAGAGGACCCAGGGGTCTTTGACAGACTGAGCGAATATCCAGACGTGGGATGGGCTCTTCACATCATAATGGCTGTTGACCAGGACTGCATTCCACTCCACCAACCACTGAAGATCCACACTATGGGTCAGTGGTAAGGTGGCCTGCAGGTGCAAGAGGGCAATGAATCAATACCATACTGTAAACTCCACATCCTCATCATAGCTTTTCCTGACCACCTCTGTAACTAGCCATGCGGTGACTCTGAAACCTCCTCCTACCCCTACCGTATAGGATTTGGTTGGTAGTCATCACTGTTTCCCAGGCTAGATGACAAGCAACTGAAGTACAGAGGTTAAGGACAGGGGTTGTACTTCATATAGTTTTAATGTCATATAACACTGTGCATTGGTAAGCAGATGCTGCTCACTAAATATTTGGTGAACAAAGACATGACATTAGTTAATTCAAACTAGACCAAAGATTTGCCATTTTAAAATTCTGAAAAGTTATTAATCTCTGAGATTCATAAATGTGTATTTAATACCTATAATTAGAATATATATATATATTTAAAGCAATGATAATGAATTAGGGAGATGGCTGAGTTTAATTCCTTTTATGAAAGGTATTTTATTGATGATTTTTAAGGTAAAATACCTATATATTCTTGTCCTATGCTATCAAGCCAAACTAATAAATTCTAGAACCTTTTGAAAGATATCTAATCACATAAGTTCTTGTTCATTTTCTTTTAAGCCCAGAAATCAAAATTTATAGAAGACCAAGTTTCAAATAATGTAACTGCTGTGCCAGGAGAGAAAATTGCCTTCTTTTTTGTTAGGCATTTAACACAATCCATGTTCTCTGCCGGGTCTAAGAGTTCCTGTGGGTCATAGCACCCCACTAGTGGCCTAGATGGTTAATGCACCAGAGAGAAGAGATTCCAGCCCAGACGCTGCCCAAAGCCTGTGACCAGAAAACCCCCAGCCATCCCAGAGTGCTTCATTTATGACTTGGGGATTATAATGCTGTTCTCACTCCACCTTTACGTGAATGGGAGGTAAGAACACCTGGCACAGAGCAGGTACTGCTTGCCCCATGTCCCCTCCCGTGCATCTACCTAATGCAGAGTTGCTGACCTAATTACCCTGGCTCAAGGTTTTGATTCTGATAAACACAGAACAAAATCACATGAGCAAAATATAACCTGCAGGGAAATAAAATCTGTGTATAAAATAATAAAACTTGACTCTTCCATTCCATGTTCAAACAATTTGAATTTCTAAAAGACACAGTAGATATGAATGCATGGCTAACAGTTTTAGTATTATCATTATTATTACAACCATAGCAAGAACAAGGCTACATAGATATAGATTTGTGTTGAATTTCAGTTGGAAAAGGCCACACAAAGCTCACAAGTATTGTTAGGTTTTCTAGTCACTCATAGCTATTTGTCAATTATGTTTGTATTCATTTATAGTTATTTGACAAGAATATATGAGGGACATTGGCAGTGTGGATTCTGCATGCGTCTGGGATGTGTCCTGCTCTCTTCAGCTTTGGAGCTGAAATTAGTCCAGGTTCCATGACTGCACTGTACTGATTTTTTAAAAAAACCAGATAATTAAAATCTATTTCAATCTATTTTCTACTTATTCATGAAAACTGAAGCTGCTAATATGCACTTTATAAGGGAGAATATGTTTGTGAGACAGATAAAGCTGTACTAGAGTCAGAGTTCAATTAGGGTCAAGTCCGGGCCCTATCACTTCCTTCTGTGTGACTATGGCCCTGTGCCTCTTAATGTTTTTGAGTTTTGATATTATCAGGGTCAAAATGATAATAAATGTGAAAGCACCTTATAAACTGTAAAGCACCTTTAAATACAAGGTACATATAGTGTGAAGTACAATAAATAATGTGAATTCATTTTCTTAAAGAAGCCTGAGCAATTCTTGAAATTGCAGTTTTCAAAAATATTATTTATATACCTAAGGCTCAAATTTCACTTGAAATTATCTGAATGTCTCCTGAACCAGTATTTGAAAATCCTGCCTTGTTTTCCTAAGTACTTTTTTCTTGTTTTGTTAATTCTCACCTGAGGATATTTCCTCCACTGATTTTTAGAGAGTGGAAGGGAGAGAAGGGAAGAGAGAGAGAAACATCGATGTAAGAGAGACACATCATCGATTGGTTGCCTCCCACACACACCCAGACTGGGCTGGGGATCAAACCTGTAACCCAGGTCTGTGCCATTGACCAGGAAGCAACCTACTAACCTTCAGTACACAGGCCGATTCTCTAACCACTGACCTACACTAGCGAGAGCTTCCTAAGTACTTTTGCATCAGTTTATCAACCTGACATAAAACCCCTGAATTCTTCCATACCATTTTTCTTTGTCTCTCTTTTATCAGACATGTCCAGATCTTATACTTAAAATGATTAGCAATAATAGTCAAATATGTACTTACTGAGTCCGAAACTGCTACATGAATAAAACTTTCAAGAATGGAAGAACTTAGCTGATCCATGACATCAATCATAGGCCTGTCGTCATCCTATACAAAGGAGAGGTGGTTACTCTCCATGGGAAAATGGATCCTTCCCATCCAGCCCACTCCCTTTGTCTAGAACATGAAAGCAGAACAGTGTGCAAGACCGTGATAAGGGTTTTCTCACAGAAAACTGAGTGTCAAGATGGTGAATGGCAGTGGATAAAACTCTCTATGCTTCTGAGTTGAGTCTTTGAAGTTTCAGTGGAAGGCAATTAGAACTCCCATTTCACATTGCACTGAGAACACATGCACCTGAATTTCAACAATTCATACATGTGCACAAGAATCTAAATACTGTACCAGATGTTATACACTGAAGCACTGGTGTTGTCATTAATTTTAAGGACTGGAAACCCCACAAAAATATGCTTTGCCTGATCTCTAAAATGCTACTTACTGAAGTCACTGATCTGCTAAAATAACTGATAAATTGCTGACTGTGACTGAATTTAGTGCTAAAGAAAGGGTACTGGAGACTAACCACGTGCTCGCCATGGTACTATGTAGTGTATAGCTATTTGGTAAAAGAAGCAAATTGGAATGGGCATAAAAAAAAAAGTATCACAATTGTATACTTTACAATGTGGTTCCCCTGACATTTCAAGTACCCACCTGGCACCATACATAGTTACTACAATATAATTGACTACATTCCCTATACTGTACTTTACATCCCCATGACTATTTTGTAACTGCTAATTTGTACTTTTCAATCCCTTCTTCTAAGTGAATGAATGTGTATGTTTGCCATTCTTTATTATAGAAAAGCTCAGATACATAAAATTGTTTACTTAGAAGCCTTATAGGGAAGCTTTGGAATATCTTTGTTCATGTATGAGAATGATTTCAAAATGAGAATGAGAATGGTTTCCAAAGAGTCATGGCTGGTGTAAGAAAACAACACACTGTGTGAGAAACATCCCATACAGTCTGCTGGAAAAGCAATTACCAGTATGAACACGGGGCTTTAGAGGCATCTGTATTTGGCTTTGAATGATGGCTCTGTCATGTCCTAGCTATTGATAAAGACTTTTAACCTCCCTAAACCTCAGTCTTTGTACATTGGGGGTAAAAACAATACTCATTCTTAGGTTATTGTGAGAGTTAAATAAGATAATATATGTGTAGAGCACTTAGGTAGTAACTGATACTGACATAGTTATCAGTATTCTCATAATCAGAGACTTAATGGAGGTTTACCAAAGTATAGCATGTCTCAGAGATCTATTTACTTGATACCAGAGGCATGATCCTAAAATATTTCAGATAGCTATCTGAAAAAATGTGAATAACCAGGACAGTGATGGATTTGGAAAGACAATGACCATTTTGAGGATCATAAGTCAAGACCCATGATTTAAAACAAGAAAAATACCATTTTTTTTCCTAAAGAAGTAGTGGCATAAACAGCTGGCCCTTCTTTAATCAACTCATACCTGGGGTTTGGCCACCTGTGCCAGCAGGCCATGAGCCTGGACACCTGAACAAGGGTGCCCTTGACTGAGGGTGGGATGTTAGCTGGAGTTATAGCGCTTAATCATGTGCTTATTTCTCCCATCTCAAGGGATATGTTTTCTTATGATGCATTTTTTCTACTGTTGTAAAGATTAAATGACTTTCTGTTAGCCAGACTCTTAAGTATCTCAATCATTTTAAATGGTATCCATTATTTTCTTAAGTTCATTCTCTATTATAAATGTAATAATGTCTGCTTACTTTGATGTATGCTGAACATTATGAAGACAAAATGATTTATAACTTAATATTAATTCTTCACTTTTTTTAATAAGCACTATCTCTTGGAGAATGATAAACAGGCTTTTCTATTGCTCTAAGAATATATGACTTATCTCTCCTACATTAATAGTGCTAGTTCATAATTAAAAACCACCACGAAGCACAGATCATGTGTTGACATCATGTGTAACATGACAGAACATAAAGTAGTAATGCATCATTTACAATTTTTAATCTAAACATCAAAACTCTTGAAAGGAATAAATTGGGAACTTCAGAAAAATAATCCATACCTCAGGCTGACCCAGGACAAGAAATAAAGCTCGGATTTCCTTGAGTATTAAAACGGACAGTTTGCGTGTGGCCACCTGAAAACTGCAGAGTAAAACCAGAGCAAAGCCTTCCACAGCATGGAGGACACTGCAATGGGGACTTCGTTCCGACTGCATTCGGTGGCTGGAGCCATTTGCAATAAACTGTCATACAATAAGAACAACATTCTATATCAGAAAAATAACAGGGAAA